TTGAAGACGTGATCGGGAAACTCAAAGTCCTCAAACCCTGGGGGCTGGTCAACATACACTTCCTCTTGAATAAAACCATTGAGGAAGGCACTCTTAACATCCATTTGATAAAGTTTAAAATCCATAGACGAAGCAAAAGCAAGAAGTAAACGAATAGCTTCTAAACGTGCCACAGGTGCATAAGTTTCTTCGAAATCAATGCCTTCTTCTTGATTGTAGCCTTTAGCTACGAGCCTAGCTTTGTTTCTAGTGATTATTCCATTTTCATCAAATTTGTTACGGAACACCCATTTCGTACCAATAATCGTTCGATCATCGGGCCTTGGCACCAATTTCCAAACGTCATTCCGTTTGAATTGGTTTAGCTCCTCTTGCATAGCCAAGGTCCAATGTTCATCGTTTATTGCTTCGGAAATGGTTGTAGGTTGAATTTGAGATACAAAAGCCATGTGTCCTACGGTGTCCCTAAGAGAGTTACGAGTACTTACCCCGCGGTTGATGCTGCCGATTACCTGGTCAAGTGGATGGTTCCTGTGCGTTCTCCAAGTGATGGGAAGCTCAGTTTCCTCTTGTTCCTGGGCTTCCTCTTGTTCTTCTTCGTCTGCTTGGTCTTCACTTTCGACCATCACTTGAGGTGTTTCCTTAGGTTGTGGTTGCGGGTTGGTGTATAATGGTGTGTCTTCTTCATCGTCTTCAAGGTGTACTCTCTCTAGTGAATCTGCAAGATCATCACAAATAGCCTTTCTCGCCAAGCGAGCATTATCTTCGGAAAATACAATATGAGGGGACTCCTCAATAGTCAAAGTACGTTTATTAAATACTCTATAGGCCTTGCTGCGAAGAGAATAGCCAAGAAAAATCCCTTCGTCCGACTTGGCATCAAATTTTCCCAAGTTATCTTTGCCGTTATTATGAATAAAACATTTGCAACCAGAGACTCGAAGATGGGAAAGATTTGGCTTTCTCCCTTTGTATAGCTCATAGGGCGTTTTCATGAGTATCGGTCGAATGACGGCTCGGTTTAACACGTAGCTCGCGGTACTCACGGCATCCGCCCAAAAATACTTAGGGATTTTTGCCTCATTGATCATAGTTCTAGCCATCTCTTCGAGACATCTATTCTTACGTTCCACCACTCCATTTTGTTGTGGTGTACGTGGGGCTGAGAAGTTATGATCAATGCCAAGTTCGTCACACAAATCTGAGAACAGATTTCGTTCGAACTCTCCCCCATGGTCGCTTCTTATGGCTACTATGGTTGTTTCTTTTTCATTTTGAACTTTCTTTAGAAAATTTTTGAAAACATGAAATGCTTCACTTTTATGAGTAAGAAACAAGGTCCATGTAAACCTAGAGTAGTCATCGACAATCACAAACGCAAAGTAATTGCCACCAAAGCTTTTCGTTCTAGAAGGACCAAAGAGATCCATGTGCAAAAGTTGAAGCGGTCTAGACGTTGAAACAACGTTCTTAGA